ATGACAGTGATAACAGTGACGATAGTGATGTAGTAATGGTAGTGATGATAGTGATGACAGTGATGGTAGAGATGACAGTGATAACAGTGACGATAGTGATGACAGTGATGGTAGAGATGACAGTGATAACAGTGACGATAGTGATGACAGTGATGGTAGAGATGACAGTGATAACAGTGACGATAGTGATGACAGTGACGATAGTGATGACAGTGATGGTAGAGATGACAGTGATAACAGTGACGATAGTGATGTAGTAATGGTAGTGATGATAGTGATGACAGTGATGGCAGAGATGACAGTGATAACAGTGACGATAGTGATGGTAGTGACGATAGTGATGACAGTGATAACAGTGACGATAGTGATGACAGTGATAACAGTGACGATAGTGATGACAGTGATGGTAGAGATGACAGTGATAACAGTGACGATAGTGATGGTAGTGACGATAGTGATGACAGTGATAACAGTGACGATAGTGATGGTAGTAATGGTAGTGACGATAGTGATGACAATGATGGTAGTGACAATAGTGACGATAGTGATGACAGTGACGATGGTGATGACAGTGATGGTAGTGACGATGGTGATGATAGTTACAGTAGTGACGATAGTGATGGTAGTGATGATAGTGACTGTAGTGATGATAGTGACAGTAGTGACGGTAGTGATGATAGTGACAGTAGTGACTATAGTTACGGTAGTGATGACAGTGACTGTAGTGATGATAGTGACAGTAGTGACGGTAGTGATGATAGTGACAGTAGTGACGGTAGTGATGATAGTCATGGTAGTGACGGTAGTGATGATAGTCATGGTAGTGATGATAGTGACAGTAGTGATGGCAATGATGATAGTGACAGTAGTGACTATAGTGAAGGTAGTGATGACAGTGATGATAGTCATGGTAGTGATGGTAGCTGAGCGTGCAGTGAACGCATGTGTGTCGGTCGTGTCTCTCACCGCTCGTGGATGAGCTTGAGCTGCAGTGTCTGCTGCTCCTGAACGCTGGCCAGCAGCTTCCTGAGGAGCTCACACTGCTGCGTCACATGGGCGTCCTTCATTTCCTGTTCCTCTGTGCTGTGACAGTTGATCATCTCTGACCACTCTTTAGTGTGCTGCGCCACCATGTCCTTCACCTGAGAGGGAGGAACACCAGCACAACAGACACGCTTGCTGACAAACTCTATTGTGAATAAAAACCATTCAAACACAGACGGCTGGGGTTTCCATCAGTACATCAGCGGTCAATCATGACTTCAGAAAGATCTAAAGCACAGGATCTAGACTGATGCATAACTAGAAATATCTACAACATTTAGGATATGATTAACTGCCAATCAAATCCGATCAATCAAAAGTAATTTTGTTTCTGTTAGATGTCATTTAAAACAATTACATTGGCAGGAGCTCCAGTGACATTTTCAGAGTGGTTTTGCATGCGCTCAAGTTTTGTTCAGAATTCAGGTAATGCACTTGAAAACGAACATGTGAATCACACTGTAAAGTTTAAGTTTCATATAAACATAACTTTCAAAAACTGAAATCAGTTCGGAATTATTAGTGCATGTAAACAAACCTACTGAAGCGTATTCTTATACTGATTCCTGCAAAAGTGCTAAAGCCAGTCAGAACAGAGCATGTGATTATGTCATTGTTGTGTGTTATATGGCCAAATGCTCCACGGGCGAGAAAGTTATAAGACACAAAGCATGATGGGATTTTCTTCCGTACCTTTTCTTTATGGTCTGTCGTGAGCATCTCAACCTTTATGGCCGTCTCCTTCTTTAACTCGGAGCAGTTGTTTTCACTAAAACAGAGAACAATAACATCAGGACTGATTGACTGAGATGATGTTTCCCATCATGCTTCACTCACCCTCTCTTCTTGATGGCCTTCTCCAGCAGCTTCTCCAGCGTGAACTTCTCCTTGTCATGCTGAGCCACTATTTTGTCCACCTGCGTGCAGTGTGATTTCTGCATGGCGTTGTGTTCCTGCGAGCAGAAGACGCGTTCATCATTTCATCGGCGGACAGGAATCCTTCCAGCGTTCTAATGATGGTCTGACAGTGTCACTGACCTTAGTGTGTCGTTTCTTTAGTGTGTTCAGTTCCTTCTGCTGCTTCTTCATCAGTTTAATGAAGGTCTAGAGAAAAGAGATTTGTGGGATTTATGAGGTTTATTCTTTCAAAAAAGACACTTTACAACCAGCGAAACTACAAAGAGTGAAATGCAGAACTCAAAACGAATCAGTGAATCCTGAACAAACTGACTAACAATAATGAATCAGAAGAACCCAATAATGCAGCATTTCATCACCAGCACTGGTGCAAAATAATCCAATACTGTGTATATGAATGTTTTACCTTCATCTGCTTCAAATCTTCAATGTTCACCTGATTCACAATGGCAGAATTATCTGGAAACAGAAGAAACAAACAACTTCAATGATGCAAATTGTATTGTCATACTTGCTGATTATTCATAACCTTCATGAACTAATTTTAAATATTCAAATATATTGTCTCTTTAGCTTTGTGTTATATTGTGATGGTGCGTGTGTGTGTGTGAGAGAGAGTGTGTGTGTGTGTACGTGCATGTGTGTGCGTCTCACCGCGTTTGTTCTCGCTGACGTTGTTCTGTGTGGCGTTCACCTCGGAGCTGCTCTGCGGCGTCACGTTAGTCTTCACCTGATTCACTTTTCCCTTCTTATCGCTCTTGCAGTTTTCATTGGGAACGTCTGCGATGTCACTCTGCACCGCCAAAACAAACACATGTCAGGACACACACACACACACACACACACACACACACACACAGTCG